AACCTGGAAAACTCCTGGGATAAGGTTTATCACCGAGCCAAAAGGGAAAATAAGGATAAAGTGGATTAAAATAGCTCGGCGCGATATCAAAACATCGTCACCATTTTATTGCTCATTTTAAGGATCATTTTAATGTAAGTAAAATAAAATGTCGTTTACTAGGTATATGGTTTGAATAGGTATGTTAAATATTAATAAATTCAAGAAAATACGGCTGAGCCGTAACTACTCTCAGTGTAGGGTCATAAACTTTGCTTTTGATAATTGAAGGGACAACTTTCCCAGGAGTTTTCCAGGTTGTATTTGTACAACAAGGCACAAAACAATATTTACAACCAATTTTTGGTTTCGCGTTTTCCATGTTAAACATAAACTTTATCGGTGTTTATTATTTGTTGACATCTTGATTTCTGACAGCTGGTGAAGCTTATGACGTCATGCAATATGGCGGGAGTTCGAAACGTTTGAAAAGTACCTTTTTTTCAATTTGATATTTTGGCGCCGGGTTGAACTTTTGGAATATAAAAAAATATTTTTGCAATGTGTTTTTACCTCTAGATTACATTAAAAAGGTTTTTAGGGATTTTCATTTTTGATGCAATTACTCTATTTTACAACGTAGTTTGAAAGTGGGTTTTGTGTATTTCGGTCATATTTTTGATAATATGACTTTAAAAATGTGTTGAAGGGTTTTATTTTACTTTTATAAGTAATGTATAATAAAAAAAAATTGAAAAAAAAATCCTCAGTAAAAAAATTTTCGTCGGGACTTTGAAAAAATTTTATGTAGCCAAACGTGGGTTTTGGAACGTTGTTGCAACGTTTCCAGCAATACAATTCTGCAACGTTGTTTGAAAGTGGGTTTTGTGTATTTCGCTCATATTTTTGATATTATGACTTTGAAAATGTGTTGAAGGGTTTTATTTTACTTTTATAAGTAATGTATAATAAAAAAAATTGAAAAAAAAATCCCCAGTAAAAAAATTTTCGTCGGGACTTTGAAAAAATTTTATGTAGCCAAACGTGGGTTTTGGAACGTTGTTGCAACGTTTCCAGCAATACAATTCTGCAACGTTGTTTGAAAGTGGGTTTTGTGTATTTCGCTCATATTTTTGATATTATGACTTTGAAAATGTGTTGAAGGGTTTTATTTTACTTTTATAAGTAATGTATAATAAAAAAAATTGAAAAAAAAATCCTCAGTAAAAAAATTTACGTCGGGACTTTGAAAAAATTTTATGTAGCCAAACTTGGGTTTTGGAACGTTGTTGCAACGTTTCCAGCAATACAATTCTGCAACGTTGTTTGAAAGTGGGTTTTGTGTATTTCGCTCATATTTTTGATATTATGACTTTGAAAATGTGTTGAAGGGTTTTATTTTACTTTTATAAGTACTTAATGTATAATAAAAAAAAATTGAAAAAAAAATCCTCAGTAAAAAAATTTTCGTCGGGACTTTGAAAAAATTTTATGTAGCCAAACGTGGGTTTTGGAACGTTGTTGCAACGTTTCCAGCAATACAATTCTGCAACGTTGTTTGAAAGTGGGTTTTGTGTATTTCGCTCATATTTTTGATATTATGACTTTGAAAATGAATTGAAGAGTTTTATTTTACTTTTATAAATAATGTATAATAAAGTATAAAAATTAAGAAAAAAATCCTCATTGAAAGATTTTCGTCGGGACTTAGAAATAATTTTATGTATCTAAACGTGGGATTTGGAACGTTGCTGCAACGTTTCCAGCAATACAATTCTGCAACGTTTCCAAGACAACGTTTTAACTACGTATTTCCCACTTAAAATCATACATTAAAATAACGTTTCCAAGACAACGTTTTAACTACGTATTTTCCACTTAAAATGATACACTAAGACAACGTTATGAGTATAACAAATTATTATACAAATTTGCAACGTTGTCTGAATGTATGCAAACGTTATTTTCTACCAGGGTATTTTATTCAAAAATTATTGGAGAATCGTGTACAAAAGAAAAATCGAACAAAATTGATTTTTTTCATCACAGCGCCATCTATTACAAATATGAAAAAACGTTTTAGACAAAATCTACCTATATTTTCGTATAGATGTCGCTTTATATAATATTTAATTTAAATCATTTTTTAGATAATATTAAGTATTTGTCGTAGAAAAACTCTTTTGAAACTCGTTTTTATTAAACACTCGCTCGCAAGCTTGGCTCGTGCCTAAAATGGCGTTTATAAAACTTGACACATAATATACTACGAATTATAAGAATAACTTTAAAATTAGGTACTAAAAATCTAAAATGTTAAGAATAAAATATGTTTTTGGATAAACCTTAAAGATCACTGCCCCCTTAAAAATCAATATTCAATCAATAATTCAGACAACATAAATAAAATGTAGGATTACGCGTTCTGATTTTATGAAAAGGCAATTTTAGAGCCTCCAAATGTTCATTTCGGGTTAAAACGCTCGAAATCGGACGAAGCGGTAACAAAAAAGAAGACATTTAAAATATAATGCCTGCGAAAAAGGTCCGGTTAAAACTTTTTAAAAGCAATTCCGAACTCCAACAATTTGATGGTCGGGTATCAAGAAATTTACATGTGACAAGTTTTGAACGGTTCTGAATATAAAGTTTAAGTTAAAAACTTTACCTTTCGTTTCAACAAGTGTTTATAAGGCGAATATAAAGTATCAAAGTAATGTTAATTGTTCAAACAAGGGGAAAGTGCAAAATTGTAAATATTAGTCATGAGTAAAGTTAAAATAATATTATCTATAGACAGTCAAATATTACTTGTTATGCTACCTGTCTTTATACAGGGTGTAAATGAAAAAGTGATACTTCAAATAATTTTATAAAACAAAATTTGAGACTTAAGATTTTAATGACATGTTCATCTTAAAATCAGTTGAAAACTCACCTTCTTTATTTTGTCAGAAAGGTTTAATAGTATATTATGTATCACGTTTGATAAACGCCATTTTATACACGAATTTAATTTAATTTAATTTAATTAATGAGTGTATAGAAAAGTTTATAAACGAGGTGCATACTATACTTTTTCTACGACAAATACTTATTATTATCTTAAAATGATTTAAATCAAAAATTTGTATAGAGCGCCATCTATGAAACAACAGGGGAAACTGTCAAATGTCACATTTTTACATTTTATAAACACAATTATAAAAGTAATAAATTGAAATATATATTGAAAATTGACAGTTTTTCACAGTGACAGTAAAGAAAATGTTTTATGAGCACTTTACACCACAGTCCGTGCCCCAATTTAAGTTATAGTTTACTGCCGGCGAAATTAAAAGGTCAGTACAATGTTCATATAAACGTATCAAATATTGGCGTTGAGAAACTATTTAATACTTTTGTATTTTTGTATTGAGATAATAAAATAATTTTCACCTTTAGTAATATTTTACAAGAAAGGCAATTTATTTTAACGATTGTATGACATTTGACAACTGTCAACTAACTTAAAACTAACTTCAGCCCGTGACTAAAAACCTGTTGCTAACTTCAGCCCATGACTAAAGCTCCGTAAAGCCACAACTTGTCAATGTGTATTTAAAAGGTCACTTAGTGTCATGGAAACATGTACCTACGATAAAGGGCGTTTTAAAGGTGGGAGTAGAAAAAAAAACATTTATAATTTTAAGATGGTTGACAGTGGTCAAATGTCATAAAATCCTTAAAATAAAGTGCCTTTTTTGTAAAATAATACTAAATGTGAAAATTATTTTATTATCTCAATACAAAAACACAAAAGTATTAAATAGTTTCTTGGCGCCAATATTTGAAAAAATTATATGAAGGTTAGTACTGATTTTTTGATTTTGACTTAGTAATGCAGTTAACTATGTAGATTTAACTGATAAAGCCTTAAAAATGTTGCGTACAGTACCTATAAAACATTCTCATCTCTTTTACTGTGAAAAAATGCTTCAATAACGATTGTTAGTCTATTTTCAAGGGATAAATTTTGATTTACACAGAAGAGAGAGATTTTAACGCCGCGGTTTAGATTCGCAAGTTAGAAATTTTAACACTTTTTGTGCCTAACATTTTTTGTGTAAGAATTTTTAATACTTTGTGATAATATTTTACAATTATAGTAATAAAAAAAATCGATAAAATATTTTCTTAACATAATTATATTTTAAAGTTATTTTAATGTTTTAAAGTATAATTGCGACGTCATTTATAACCTTAAAATATTCTTACATTGTGATGCTAAGGAACTAACATTAAGAATAAACACGGAAGAGTTTCAATACGATAAAATGTTCAAATGTCGCACCCGTTACATTTTGAGAAAATTTTAGAAAATAAAGTATACAATATTTGTGCATTTTAAATACGTGCTTGTTTAAGGTTACTATTCAAGTTTTACACAAAAAATTATTACTATATGCTTTCATCCAAAATTTTACAGTATCAACTTTAGAAGCCATATTGGTCGCATTTGCCGATTTTCTAAGGTCGTGCCCGTTACGCGATTCATGACGTTATAAAAGATTTTCCATACAAGTTTTTATTGACATTTTGTTTGAGTTAAATATCTAATTTTCTATACTATTTTTGTATATTAACGTATCTAGATATATATGAACAAACACTTTATTATCATGAAAAACGCAGTATCAGTGTCACACCCTTTACAATGTAAACACCCGATGGTTACTTTATTTTTGTGTAGATGTCGCTTTATACAAATATTTAATTTAAATCGTTTTTTTAGATTATATTAAGTAGTTGTAGAGAAAGTATAGTATGCAACTCGTTTATAAACTTTTCTAGGCCCTCATTTAATTAAGCACTGGCTCGCAAGCTCGCTCGTGCCTAAATTAAATTGGTGACTAAAATGGCGTTTATCAAACTTGGTACATAATATACTATTTTATTGCAATAAACATATTTACATCTTTTAGAAATCATTAGATGTAGCATTGTGGTTTTAGCAATAAAATCTTTTTATATTGTTTCAGAACGGCACTTATGGTTGTTCGTCACTGTGCCCTCAGGAGCATATCTCTCCCAGAGGAAACTGTCAACACCCGCGGCTAGTCGATGTCCCAGGACAATGCTGTCGCGAGTGGATGTGCGACAGTCAGACTGGTAAGTACACTTTTACATAATATAGTAGGTATATACCAATTTTATTTATTCTGATAAATAAGATCGATTTTTATCTTTACTGCACATTTCCTATGTATGCATTTTATGTATCTACATAATATTATGTGTACATATGTGTGTGTAATACGTGATAGATAAAATATTCTTAACGTTGCCTTCTTTATTGAATTTTATTTTCATTGTCGGTGGACATCCCACTGCCGGTTAACTTTAGAAAATTTCAAAGAATGGTATAAATAATCTAAATAAAATATCTACAAAAACATTTTATTAGTTTTTAAATAAACTTGCATACTTATTTTTCTCCATTTCTATTTTTATCGCAGTTAAAAATTATACTTTACCAACAACATTTCTACACAAAACCTATAATATATTCGTATTGGACGCAAAAAATCCTGAAAAATGAGTACCAACATCGATATGTTTAACCTACGAACAAAAAAGTAAAACAAATGAATATCGATTTCTTTAAAAGTTCATTACGCTGTCAATTTAACGCCTAAAATAGGCATATGACGTATCAAATGAAAGGTTTTTTTACGATCTAAACGATTGTCTCCAAATTATTACATTTTTTTTTAAATTTTCCGTAAAAGTATTTTTTTTAAATTTTTCATCGGATTGTACACAAAAAATCCTGAGAAATGAGTACCAACATAGATATGTATGTTTAACCTACGTGTTCGTAGGTTAACATATGTATGAATATCGATTTGAAGTGTATTAAGCCATCAATTTAACTCCAAAAATAGGCATGCAACGTATCAAATTATTCTTAACAATCTAAACGATTATCTACAAAATTATTACATTTTTTTAAATTTTTCCAAAAAAGTATTTTTTTTTAATTTTTCTTTACATAATCGAACTGTACACAAAAAATCCTGAAAAATGAGTACCAACATCGATATGTTTAACATACGAACAAAAAAGTAAAACAAATGAATATCGATTTCTTTAAAAGGGTATTACGCTGTCAATTTAACGCCTAAAATAGGCATATGACGTATCAAATGAAAGGTTTTTTTACTATCTAAACGATTATCTACAAAATTATTACATTTTTTTTAATTTTTCCTAAAAAGTATTTTTTGAAATTTTTCTTTACATCACCGAATTGTACACAAAAAATCCTGAAAAATGAGTACCAACATCGATATGTTTAACCTACTACCAAAAAAGTAAAACAAATGAATATCAATTTCTTTAAAAGTGTATTACGCCGTCAATTTAACGCCAAAAATAGGCAACGACGTATCAAATGAAAGGTAATATTACGATCTAAACGATAATTTACAAAATATTGCATTTTTTAATTTTTTTTTCAAAAAGTGTTTTTTTGAAAAATAGGCATACGTCGCGACGTATCAAATGAAAGGTAATTTTACTATCCAAACGATTATTTACAAAAAATATTATTTTTTTTTAATTTTTCCTATATTTTATTTATATAATTTAAAAAGTATTTTTTGAAATTTTTCTTTACATCATTGAATTGTACACAAAAAATCCTGAAAAATGAGTACCAACATCGATATGTTTAACCTACTACCAAAAAAGTAAAACAAATGAATATCAATTTCTTTAAAAGTGTATTACGCCGTCAATTTAACGCCAAAAATAGGCAACGACGTATCAAATGAAAGGTAATATTACGATCTAAACGATAATTTACAAAATATAACATTTTTTAATTTTTTTTTCAAAAAGTGTTTTTTTGAAATTTCTCTTTACATAATCGAATTGTACACAAAAAATCCTGAAAAATGAGTACCAACATCGATATGTTTAACCTACTACCAAAAAAGTAAAACAAATGAATATCAATTTCTTTAAAAGTGTATTGCGCCGTCAATTTAACGCCAAAAATAGGCATGCGACGTATCAAATGAAAGGTAATATTACGATCTAAACGATAATTTACAAAATATTACATTTTTTAAATTTGTTTCCAAAAAGTATTTTTTTGAAATTTTTCTTTACATAATAGAATTGTACACAAAAAATCCTTAAAAATGAGTACCAACATCGATATGTTTAACCCACGAACAAAAAAGTAAAACAAATGAATATCGATTTCTTTAAAAGCGTATTACGTCCCCAATTTAATGACAAACATAGGCATGCGACGTATCAAATGAAAGGTAATTTTACGATCTAAACGATTATTTTACTTTTCAGCCGAACAACCTCCCTCCTGCCAGCCAACGTTCAGTCGCTGGTCGTCGTGTTCTTCGGGCTGCGGCTCGGGTCTCTCGACGCGGCAATCGAACCTGAACGGACGATGCCTAAGCGAGACCGAGACCAGGATATGCCAGACCCGCAGGTGCCAAGATAACACCCAAGCATACCCCTCTATAGCCGATTATCAAACGAGGCAGCATCACCTCAGGGTGAGTAGTCCACCCTAGCGAGTGCGGTTATCGACGGAAAGAGGATTTTATTTTCAGACCCTTTTAAATTTCAAAAATGGAGTTTTGATTTATTATTAATAAAATTAAATTTAGAATCTCTAAGAACGCCAATAATAATGCATGTAAAATCTGTTCTTCTGTTTCAATATAAAAGTAATATTTCCTGAAATCCCTCACAAAACAATGCAATACAAAAAAGCACGTTCAGATTGCATTGAATTGCGAGAGACAAGACAAATAAAAAAATCAAATAGAACAGGCAGCAACGAGTGTGGAGAACTGAGCAAATTTAAAAATAGATTGCAAATTGTGTAATGTAAATGGAGTTTGTATGTATTTGGTTGAAAAAGGAGTCGATGTGATTTTTTCACTTGACAATTTTGCATATCAAATCTACGTAAGTGTTTGTTAAATATTCAGTGCGTTACCGAGATCAACTTTTGGGCCAAGGGAATCTCGAATGTAAATATTTTACAGAACAGTGGAAAATTTATAGTTTTTAATGATATTTAATAGTTTTTATTAAAAGACTTTTTAATGGGGTTTTGATAAAATTAAAAAGTGTTTATAGAATGCTAAATAAATACTAACAAACATTTTGTGGCAGCTGGTGGATTTTGGGGGTACAATATCTCATTTATTAAAAAAATTAAATAAAAAAGTTCTTCGCATGCAGAACTTAAATTGAAGTTTGCGAAAAAATTTAGTTTTTCAGCCAGAACTACCAGCCCCCTGCCCCCCCTAATTAAGATAATTTAAATTTAAGTGGTTTAATTTATAATTTATCGACAAATTTACAGTAAGTACAGATGTATTACAGATATCTTTATATATCTTTTATATCTTTTTTATTTTTTGTTGTAATAAAATAATAAAAGTTTAATGGTGTAAAATCTGTAATAATTGGATTAAAAAAAAAATTGTTGAACTGTAGTAAATTATAAATTACACCAATTTAATTTGATTTATCTTAATAAGGAAGGGCAGGGGGCTGGGAGTTCTGGCTGAAAACCTAACTTTTTTTCGCAAATTTCAAGTCAAAATCAGCTTTCGAAGAACTTTTTTATTTAATGTCATTAAAAACTTTTATAAATTTAGTGTTGTCCAAAAATCCACTAGCCACCACAAAATGCTTAAAAAAATACATTTTTTTATAAAAAATTAAAAACATAACCAAACAAAATCCTTTTTTTTAAATACAGATTGTGCATAAATGGATTTTATGTCTATGCAAAAACACTTTGGTTCTAAAAACTTAAAACCTAAATTAAGAAATTGTTTGCAAATAAATATAATTGCATCCTCAGATAGCAAAATATTTTCCACTTTTCCAAAATCAAAGAAACCATCTTTATCCAAAAAAGCAAGAATTGTCCCTTATTTAAATATTTCAATGCTACCAAAAGCAATAATGGTTTCTTAAGCTATAAAAATCATGCAACAGTGCATAATCAAAATAACCTTTAACTAAATTAATTTATATATAGGGTATACCTTAAGGTATACCTTAAGGAATTCTACATTTTTACTCACCTACAAATACAGGAATTAACTCCTGTAAATTCAATTTTTCCAGTAAGTTTTCCATTAGAAATACGTCTACTTTGCTTTACTTTAACTGAGACAATGGATGTAATGTCTAGATTTAATCGGGTTCTAACAGGTTCTAAACCACAAAAAAAACTGTTTTTACCGATTATATTGTAAAAATAACCGTTTAATTTTAAAAAATAACGAATGTTGTGGTAAAATCTTAATCCTTTCTTCTTTGATGAGAATATTACAGGACAAACATATTTTGAATTTTTGCAAAACTCTCTTCTTCCTACATTAGCAGAAATGTCCAGATCTACCAATTGATATATCATTGGTATACCATTTGGTTTCTACTAGCTGTATTTTTTTCAGTAAACTAGTAATCATAGATTCATGACCAATGATCCTTGGTAAAAGTATTTGATTTAAAAAAAGGCTAAATGGGCAAAATTATGATTATTTTTTAAATGGCTGGCAACTGGTGCACCAGTTATAACATGTTATAATTTAAAAACGAACCAATATTATTAAATAAAACACATTTCGCCAATGCCTTAATTGACAATTATAATCTATAAATAATTGTTTCGCTGGCATAAACATAATGCAAACTAAATGTTAAAGTATGATTTGCAGTAATTAAGGCACCAGTTAGTTTAATATAACGCATTAATTTTGGTTTTGCATATGTCACTGACAACATTAACGCGGTTATTATTTCCAACCATGGATTTTATTGCCCCCAAAATTGATTTTCCTGTTTAAAATTATATATTTTAGTAACAACAATTTTTTCAATATTTGTTTGAAACGTTAGGACAACTTAATTACGGATTTCATGAAAATAAAGTACTGTTCAAAATCAAATTAATCAAAATAAATAGAATAAAAGTATTATTTGTATTTGCATTAAAATTTATACAAACTCAACGTTAAATTAAAATAAACATATCAGCGGAGAATAAAGTTTGCAACCGAATTAAATTGTAAAATATTAAATTTTAGTTTTAAATGTTGGCTCTGTAAAACGAAAAGTTTATGTCGAATAAATTTTAAACATCTTAAAAAAGCTTTTGTCGTTGCACACTTAACTCGAAATAATTTAACTTAATGACGAAATTTACATAGAAAACCTTTTGGCTTCGGACTGTTTTATTTTTTACTGCTTGAATTCATGCGAAACAATGCAAAAGTCATTCGTGGAAAATTGTTTCAATAGAAATAAAAAGTTTTAGCTTGTACTTGTAAATTTGGAATTATATTTTTATAGAGTTCGTCTGGCTCATGGAAAGGTATTTTAAGGTTTTAAATAAAGTATGTTATCATCAATTTGCTCTTGTTTTCGTGATATCACAAAAACAATGGCACTGTTTAACAAAATGTTTTTTTAAAGTTCAGTAAAATGGCACTTTTGTGATATTTCGCAGAATGTTAAAGTTTTACTTCATTTCCATGGCAGTACACTGTTAAAAAAATAAGATTTGTTAACATGAGTTTGTAGTTGGTTTATTTTATTTTTTTAAATTTTTACAAAATTTTTTGTATATAACTTGGGTTTGTAATTATTTTAACAAAGGAAAATATTTTACCGAAAGTTTTGTTAAGGTAAAATGTAGTTTTGTAAGCATTTTGTTAATTTCAAAGGTTACAGATTATTTTGTTAATGTTTAACAAATTATTTCGTTGAAAAAGTACACGTGATTTCAGGCAGCCAATCAAAACTTTTTCAAGCACACCACACTTATCAAAAAGTTGTGTCAGCGTCAACGGGTGTTATTTAACGGTGACAGGAGTGTTTATAATGTAATTATTGGTTTTCAAATTAAAATTAGGCAATATAGTGAAGTTAAAGTAAATCAGTGTTAATGTAATTATTGGTTTTCAAATTAAAATTAGGCGATATAGTGAAGTTAAAGTAAATCAGTGTTTTAGTAGTACTGATAATTTTTATAACAGTGTAGTTTTGTTAAAAACATCATTTTTATAAAGAAAAACTTTAGGAATGTGTTTAATTTTATCTTTTACGTTTTATAATATTTGTTTACCCTAAACTTTTATGAGGAAAAACCAACTTTTTACAGTGTATTTTTTCTAAAAAAATGTTTTTTGTATGAAAAACAAAGTTTGATATGTTTTATTCATAAAATGAATGACACTACCGTTTAATACGGTTTAAATGAAAAAACACAAAAGTCGTTTCGTCATCTTCCTTTTAGACCAGATACAGAGTACAAAGAAGGACATTTTTCTATTTATGTAGATTGCACCATTACTGCATTGCATATATGCAATGCATATATCGCAATGCACACAATACCGTCGTCGCTAAGCATGCACATATTTGTGCATATTTTGAATAGTTTTGCATACGTATTTTATTATTGCTAAAAAGGTTTTGATTGAATACATATTTCAAAAATGAATGCTTTTTCTATAGTTGCTTGAAAATAAAACAACCGTGAATTCACGTATTCATTCATATTAATATGGGACAAGTACAACTGACGCTCTTTTTAATTTACATATACATATGTACATACGTATGCACATGTTTGTAATTAAAAGTAAAAGGATGTCAATCTTTTCAATGCATTTTTCATTACACCACCTTAAAAATTCTATGTTTCTGTGCCCCACATCTTTTCTGCATGAAAAAAAATTGTATGCATAATTATTGGGCTACAAAAAGAAAAATTAAAAGACCTTATAACAGTGGCGGTAAATTTAAACTGTACAAAAAAGCTCTCTTATGATTTTTCGATAAATTTACCGGTTTAAAAGTTATTTAAGGTTAAAATTGAACTTTTAGTAATATTTACTGCAAAATTATCATTATTTTTGTGAAAATATATTGTTAATTTTTAAAAATATGTGATTTTATTGTATTATTGAAAAAGTAAAAATTATTGACAAGAGATTCCGATAAATTTAAATTTTTTTATTACATTAAAAGAATCTGATACTAGTTTTGCTCAAATTTAGTACGATTTCTTTTTTTACATAATCTTTTTATTTCTGTGAAATTTTACAAAATTTTATACCTACGATTTTATAAAATATTATGCAATGAAAAGTTTTTCTTCAGCTGTAGCTAATGACATAGAAATTCTTTTAACAATTATTTTTACGAAAAAATAAAATTTGTAGTTACGCATGCGCACTAAAGTATGATTTAGTACTTTGACCACAGAAGGAAGAAGTCGCACTTCACAGATTTCGTGTCGCAAAGTTGAAGTTTGAAGTAGGTCAATCACCCATCGTCTGTGGGATCTTAGTAATAGTATAGGTATCAAGTTTTATAAACGCCATTTTAGTTACGAGTTTTATTAGGCACGGGCGAAGCTTATTAAAAACGAGTGTCTAGATAAGTTTATAAAACGAGTTGCATATAGGCAGTGTACTAAGTATACTTTATCTACGACGAACACAAAGAAGAATTTAAA